AACAACCGATATCGGTTAGAATGGGTTAGAATAACAAATCTAAAATGATCTAAAACGATTCCACTTTGCGTATGCTGTGCAACGTGGTGCAATGTGGTGCAACGTTTTATTACATTTGCTGCGTTGCGTGATAGCATGTGAAACCGTGTGAAACCGTGTGAAACAATGAGCCTTGATTCACAAAAATACGATCACTAACAAGTGTCTTTGTTAATTCAGAGATGATTGTGACCTTATTGTTCCTTTCATTCGAATTGAAAATCGTTGAACTGAGGCTACGTTCAACTTGCTGAACCAGCGATTTTCAGATTTAAAAAAAAATACGATCACACATTGTGTTACACTGCGTGCCACTTGTTGGTGATCGTATTTTTCTATTCTTTCTTTCTTTATTTATTTTTTATTTTTTTCAACAAATAATCATATAGTTCGGTCATTCGACTTTTAATTTCTTTGGATGCTGTTGTTTGCGTGACGATTTTCGGGACTTTTTTTACTCTTTTGGATGCTTGATCTGGTAAAATTTTGCCTTCAAATGTGCGATTTCAGTACTGTTGCAAGCAACTTTTGTTTCCAGATCTCTGATTTTTTCGTCTATGCTCTGGTCTGGCATCGTACATTTGTCTTCATCAAGAAGGAAATATTTGACTTGGCATGTTGCATTCAATCGTGCGTGATATTTTTCCGCATGTCGTTCAAAAGAACACTTTGCATTTATGCTTTCTTGCGAAATGCCCGGCTCTCCATTGCAGCTGCTATTCGAATACCATTTTTTGATTGTGCTTATGTGTGGCAAGTTGTTATTGAATTTTTCCCGTACATAATTGTATGCCCTGGGGCTCAAACTATGTAGTGTCAAAGCAAAAACTCGCACGTATTCATTGTACTCAACAGGACGTGTCTCCCCAACGAGGCAATCAATAATATTCTTGTTTGACGTATCCTGCTAAATAATAAAATAAATATAAATTAGACTAAATTACTATACAACGAACAAATAATTTTTTAGCTGCAACTTTGTTCAGTTCAGTTCAACCAAGTTCAACTGAATTAGATATTATTTATATATGCATTGTTCGATATATACAATTTTGTTACTTTTTTGATTCGAATATACTTATCATACCTCTTTTTTGGTCTTCGAATCAGGTTTTTCGTTCTGTATTCGTTCTTTTTTATATGCATTTATTGTATTTTTTTGGATTAATATTTTCTTCTCTAATGATGAGATCACGTTTTTTGCTTTCATCAATTGCATATTCATATCAATACATTTTTTGCATAGAGTGACGGACTCATTTTCATTGATATCTTCAAACACGGGCTCATTACTTTCCTTGCCATATTCAGTGCATTCATCAAGGTCGGTTTCATTCAGACTAGAGTTAGACCAGATACAATTTCCATGCGCTACATTCGGGAAAAGCGATGGAATAACACCTTTTCGAAGACATTTTTTTCCGTTTTCCACACAGAAATCTCCTATTAAGAAGTGTTGTTCGCATACTATGAAGTTTCCGAAAAAATCATGCTCTTGATAGTGAGAGATTACTTCAGTCCACTCTGCTCTTATTCTGCCTTGCATTGGTAACCTATTAAAAATAAACGTAATAAGCTTCAATCAACTTTTGCATCGAGTTTAACCAAGTTTAACCGGCTGAACCGAAGAAGTTGAAGTTTAAAAAAAGACACTGTGCACTTTACAGTTATTCAGACACATTCAGACATGCTCAGCTCTTACAAATAGGTAAAATTACCATAACGTATGTTTTCTACAGTTTAAAAAAATTACGTTTTCTTACTTGAAAAACAATATTTTTTGATTGTCGTTGCCAACATTATTCAAGCTACTGCAGCCTTTAATTTTGCAAGCGTATTTCATTACGTTGCCTTGTGTTTCAGGTTCTATTGTATTATTCGTTTCCGACGATGTGGGATGAATGAAAATTGACGGAACAGCATTACGTTGAAGAACTCTTTTTTCATTTTTTTCAACAAAATCATTCGGTTCAAAATGTAGCTCACAAATCTTAAATGGTTTAGAATAAAAATCATATTCTTGGTGTCGACAAATTGATTGTATCCATTTCACATCTATTGAATCGTGTTTGGGTATTCTGAAAAAACGTGAAAAATCATGAAAAATATGTTCAATCTTTTTCAAACCGTTTCAAGTATAAATTCATATCAATTATTTTATATCGCCAATGTTCGTGGCCGAAATAGACTAACAGAGGCAACCCGACTTAACTTGCTGAACCGAATAGAATTGAGTTTTAAAAATTCGAAAAAATTAGTTACTTACCCAAAGAACAGAATATTTCCGTCTCTTGTGCCATTTTCATACTTGCAATTTTTAATTTTGCAATATTTCGGCATTGTGTTTGTTTTTTTCACATTTTTTTGAACAATAGCAGAACTTATCGTCGATGATGGATCATTATCGAAAATGGTCGGAATTGCATTGAAATTCAATGATTTCTTTTTTCTCTTGGCATTAAAATCATCTGGTTTAAAATGACGTTCACAAACCATGAAAGATGAACTAACAATTTGATGTTTGGAAATACTTTCAATCCATTTGGATTTCAACATCTCCAATTTGGGCAGTCTGAAAAAAAATGTACGAAACCCAATGTAACCATTTGAAACAGTTTGAAACAGCTTGAAATAACAAGTCACATAACAAAACCGATGCAAATGCATTGAAAACAATTGAAACCAATCAATTGAAAATAATTTCGAATAAATTTCGTTCAGCCAATTAAGTTAATCGCTTATTGGCGCTTATTGGTGAATGAACTTAACAGGCTGAACCGAATAAGTTAGTTTATAAAAAAATATAGTACATGAATTTAAGTAAACCAAAGTAAACAAACCGGACAAATAAAATGTCTTCCAGTGTGCCATGTTCATTTTTGCAAAATTTAATGGCGCAGAACCTTTTTTTTTTCATTTTTTCACTATTTATTTTATTTATTCTGTTTTGTTTCTTAAATAATTTTTATTTCTTATTCTTAATGGATGAGTTCACCATCGTTGTGCACAGCTCGCAACTGTTGTAATAACAACGCATAACAACGAATGACAATGACAGCTGTTAACTGATTACGACAAAATTTGAATTGTTGCGAAATCCCGCAATATCGAATGTCAAACAATGTCAAATCATTCAATCAAATTGTCAATTGCATAAAAGTGTCAAATTATGTCATATCAAATGTTCATCAATCAAAATACTCAGCTAATTAACAAAATTGCTATATTCAAACACAAATGCAATTAAAAATCAAACATAAAAAAGAACAAAAATTAAAATGTCATGTGAGATCAATAACAAATCAATCGTGAACAATACGAATCTGAAAGTTCCACCAAATATTTGGTGTGTGTTGTTTATGAAATTTAGGCAGGTTCCAAATCAGTATTTTAACAAAAGATCTATTTATTTATTTATTTTTATTTTGATCGAAAAAACTTTAGATAGAGTATAGATTGGTGCAGCTTGTTATTGACGGTTATTGCTCGTTATAGCGAATGTATATCTTGGGCGCGAAATTTTTGAATTCTTTGTTTCTCGTTTTCGCCACCAAAAATCCACGGCGTTCTACAATTTCACAATACATTCTTTGTATGTAATGAATATAAGATTATATACGGGTGGTACGACAGTTTTGATGGAAAAACTGAGAAGATTGAACTTTCTAAGGGCAATCGTTTGGAAAGAACAGCAAGAAATCAGCGAATTGGAACGTGAAATTGCGATGACCAGAGACAAACCGACATGTGCCACATGCAAAATCGCTTTGGATGGTCTATTCTTCTGCAGCGAACAATGCCAAGATGACTATGAATAGGATTTTGTTGGAGCTATTGATACATCAGCCCATGGAAACGGAAAAATATCCTTTTCCTAAAAGTGCCCTTTGGACAGAATTTGTTTGAATAATCGCATATTATTTACATTAACTAGTATCATTTTGTTTTGTTTTAAAACAATTGTGAATGTAAATTGTCTTCAATTGTAAATATAAGAGAAAAAGTACAGTTTCTATTGACTTGAGGGAAAATTGAACATAGAGAATAAGTGGAGTATGAAATAATTCAATAAACTCACCACAATGGGAATTTCTATTCGTTTAATGGTCTTTTTCATACTCATTGAATTTTTTTTGTGTTAATTTCTACTCAAAATTTAGTTAGAACTGATGAATTCAGTCCACAGTACGCTCTGAATGTATTCGATTGTACACCAAAACGAACATTTTTCACTCTTGCGAGAGAAAAAAACGTCTACACCTCAAAAAATCTCATGAACATGTTTCAACAGCTACTAAATTTGCAATGATTTTATGTTTTATGTATGCGAACGGTGGTCTCTTCACGACACAGTATAACCAACGAGCATCACATAAATGTTAATGCTAATAAATCTTTCCGACGCTTTTCCTTCTGAGTTCCGCCACACGTTTCTTTTGCATTTATCTCATTTTTTGTGCGACACTTCAACTCTACGTGTGGCGAACAAGTACAGAATGCCAGCTCTTTTTTATCGCTTGAATTGAACTAGCATCGCGCGCTCTAAGAACCATTGTCAATGCTTGAATCAGAACGACACTTAATCTTCTTTCTGTATGTTGTAAGGCGTTTAAAATACTTGAATTGGAGGGTACTCACTGGTAATCAATTTATGTAACGTTTGAGATATGAATTCTTTTTATCGACTTATATGCGATACTTATTACTTTGAAGCCTCTTATTAGTAGTCGAATTTTATCGAGCAAAAAAATTGTGTGTGCAATAGCTCTTGGATGGTCCATAGAAAATTATTTGAATAAGGCAATTTAGACGATGAAGTTCTATCACTTGTTTCATGAAAATATCTTAATCGAACTGACTGTGACGTAGTCTAGAAACCTTCTTTAGATTCATGCATAACGTTGTCTAACCAAATTCAAGCAACATATTTGATTTTAATTTTAAATTCAAAGAAAGTTTGATTTCAATTTCAATTTTTTTTTATTTTACATTTAACGATAAATCATGATAAAATCTAAAAACAAATATAATTTTTTTTTTCTCAGGTAAATTGAATGCTTTTTTTTCTTATGTGTGTGTTTTACGTTCAAAGTATTGGCTTGTATATATTTCATGTTCAATTGAGTGCAACTACTTTAATTTGATTTCGTTAAACGAGTCATTTCTAACAAAGAACAGATCACCAAAGTCAAAACCGAATCGTGTCCGATTAAACGAGAAACAAATTAAACGGTAGTCTTGCACTTGACAGAGGTCGAATGATTTAAATATGGAACATCAGTTATGTGGCTCATTATCACTTCGTCCCCACAGCCAATCCATCAGCATGGACGATGCGTTTTGGGTGTTTCGTGTATTTGGCTTGAAATCGGGTCCAAACAACTCGGCAATCGCTTCGGGTGGCATATTTGCCACATCTTTTTGGAATACATTCATTTGACGGCGACGTTGCTCTCGCTCCTCCTTCAAGGTCTTATCTCGGGAATGACTGACTTTGTGCAATTCGGACAATCTGAAAATGGTGATAATGTCATATTGATTTGAATACCAACGAATTGAATTGAGAATAACAGGTAATTAGAAAAAAATGAACAAATTTTGTTGACTTTGAAAGAAGCCAATAAAATCATACTTCAAATCCAAGTTATCGCTTTGTGATTGTTCATTAAAACTGCCGTCATGTGAAGAGTGTGCATCGCTTAAGGCTGGATTCGATTTAACTGGGCTGCTACTGCCTGCTTCCGTTGCATCGGTGACTGTTTAAGAAAAGGAATTGCATTAATTCATTTTCAAATAATATCAAAGCTACAAAATAATTACCATCGTTTCCAGTCCTGTGTTTGAACTCCTCAAACTGGCGAATGGAATTCGATAGTTTCAACTGTAGTGTATCACGTTCTTCAAGCAAGTGTATCACTTCTTCGGTCAGTTCCTCGCACCGCATATCACGTTGATGTAGCATATAAAGTGCCAAATCCAATTCATTTCCTTTCGATGGGGCTTCATCGGTTTGATTCACCGATGGGAAAATGTTGCTCGATGTTGATTTCATGGCATATGGATCGACGGATGCAGCAATTCTAGCATATTCAGCACTGCGAATAGCCAACTGTTCTTTGAGTGAAACGATTTCGATTTCCTGTTGTTCCAATGCATTCTGCATCGTTTTGACGAGTTCACTTTGGTCGACGTTCGCACTGTCGGATTTTAATTCAGGTGATTCTTGGATATTTGATCGTGAATCACCGGAGGTAGGTGTATTCTGTGTTTCGGGTGTTGTCGAACTGGTATTCGATTGTAGCTCAAGTTGCAGCACTTTTTCACGCAAATCACTTTCCACGCCCGCAAATTCATCCTCTTTCAATTGCAAATGATGACGCCAACTATCGGCCACTTCGGCACATTTTTGATCGACAACTTGCTGCCACTGGGCATTCAACAAATCGACATTCGACTGATGCAGTGCGTCCTTCTCTTGCAATTTAACGGTTAATTCAGTGATTTGTTGTTGTGTCGATGGATCCACAGCAGATGTCGTCGTTTGGTTTTCTTTAATTTGCTGCAAACTATTTTTCAATTCGGCAATTTCAATGTTCTTTGTGTCAAGTTCAAATACGGTGCTCTTGATTCGGTCTTCGATTTCCAAGTTTTTGATCACTTGATCGTTTAGCACCTGTAATTCGTCTTCCATATTCGCTTTTTCCTCACGTAATTCGCTCACAATTTTTTCTAATTTCTGGATTTCGTCATCTTTGTTACTTGTACTCGCTGTTTGAATTACTGGCGTTGGATTTTTCAGCAGTTTTTCATTTTCGACCGTCAACCGGGTGATTTCTTGTCGTAACTCAGCGATTGTTTCGGCATTATCCGCTAGCTCTTGGCTCAAACGTTCATGTTCCTGATTGAATGTCTGCTTTTGATTGGCCAATTTTTCATTAAATGCACCGATTTCCGAGTCTTTGTACTGAATGCTTGCGTTCAAATCTTGAATTCGCTGCTCAACATCTTGTGAATTCAAATTGTACACACGCATCTCGTCCACTTGCTTGGCAAGCATAGCATTCTTCTCCATCAATTCGGACATTTTCTCGGATAAACTGGCATTTTCATCGATCTTCTGCTTGTGTTCATCCTTCAATTGGTCTAAATGCAATTTTATATTGTTTGACTCCTCCGATAACAATTCAATAGTAGCTTTGAAGTCATCATTTTGTTTTTCCAGCGCCGCCAACTTCTCATGCAAACTGGCAATTTCATCCGTTTTAATTGCAATATTTTCTTCTAGCAACACTTTTTCAGCGGTCAAAACACGGAATTGATCAAAATATTGATCGCGTTCTTCTTCAAAATCATCCTTATCAGCCGAGGCCTGCAAACGTTGCATTCTTTCCTCAAGCAAACGATTTTGATTCTGTGCTTCGGTCAAACGAGCAGCGATCGCATCATGTATTCCTGGTTTGGCCGCATTCTCATCAGCCCATTCACTTATCTTCTCCAATCGCCCGTTTAACTCACGTATTTTCGTCTTGCACACTTCGATTTCAATATCTTGTTTGTCTTTCATTTCGGTCATACGATCGTTGGCTGCAGTCAACACGTCCACACGAGTCAACAGTTTCTTCTTTTCTTGCGCCTCTTTTTCTTGTTCAGCTTTCACTTCTTTCAGTTTCTGTTCCAAAACCTTGATTTGATTGTTAAGTTCTTCTTGAATGGCCAAGTCCAAATCGTTTGGTTCTACAACTGATGGTCGTGATTTGGCTTTTGAACGCTCCAAGTCATCGATTTTCGACTTGTACTCTTTGAGTTTTTTCAATAATTTTTGATATTTCGTTTGCAATGAACTCAATTCGGTGGATATGTTGTCACGTTCAGTGCGGATTTCGTCAATTTGAAGTTGAAGGTTGACGGCAGCTTGGTTCAAAACGGCTTGATTCGTGCTAACCGATTGCTGTTGATGCTGTTCCTCCAAAATGGCATCACTTCCCCAAGCCGATTCGCCCCAGTCATCATTCGATGGCGACAACGTTCGCTGCTCTTCTGGATGACATACCCAAGTGGTCTTCGGCACAATGGTTTCTTCTACGACTGGCACTTGACCGGAGTAATCTGGTTCACCGGTGTCTGCAGGGAAGTTCTTTGTGATAGCGTTGAATGGATTGTCTTCTGTTGGTGAGCCAAAGAATGAGGCAGCACTTGGCAATTGGGAAGTACGTTGAACTGGAGTGGTTTGAACATATATTTGTGGTGTTTGCTCTTGTTCATTTCTCTCTTGAACTGAAGCTAATTGCATTTTGAGTGTTTCCAACGATGAATTCAAAGCTGTAACTTCATCTTCATATTGCTTGGCTTTGGTTGCTAAAACTTTATCAAAATTGCTTCGTTCCACGTGATATTTCATAATTTCTTCGTTGGCTGCTTTCAATTTATGCTCTAAGTCCGTAACGTACTTCTCCAAATCGGAAACATTTCGTTGAAGGTCTTCAATTTGCGATGCATTTGAATCAGCCACCGTTTCGATTGGAGCTTGGATTTCGAACGATGACACATTGAGCGATTGCGCTTGATGGCTAACCATGATTGGTTCAGCAATTGGAATACTCTCTGAGCCACTTGACACATTATGAGCTCTCTCCTGAAGACGGGCAATTTCGGTGTCTTTTTCCATGCAAAGTCGCTGCAACTCAGTGCATCTGGCTTGTGATTCGGTAACTTCATGAAGCGTATTTTCCAAACGTAATTCCAATTCGGTAACCTTCGTGGTAAGTGTAAAAGTGTCATTCACATCTGGTGTGTTATTTGAGAATGACAAGAATGGATCACTTGATGTGGCTCCAGCTGACATTTGCAATTGCAAATTTTGCCGTTGATAATTCTGAATTTCCATTTCTTTCTCAGCCAAAAGTGATTGCAAGCGCTCGTTTTCATTTTGGATAAACACTTGATCGTCGGTTTGATTTTGGCCGACTTGCATTCGAAGCGAGTCCAACTCAGCGATTTGCTGACGCAAGGCACCCAATTCACTCTCATGATTGATGTGCAACTGTTGAATTTGATGTCTCAACGATTCAATTTCGGTTTGATCGTGTGCAATTTGCAAGCGCAACTGTTGTACCTCCATTTGATCTTGGGTAATATTTTGGCCGACATTCATTTGAAGAGCATCCAATGTGTTGATTTGCTGGCGCAACAATGTGATTTCCGTTTCCAATTGTTGCTTGTGCATACGAAGACCTTCGATTTCATTGCTGTCGCGTTGCGTTTGCTCGTACAATGAACTCAATTCGGAAATGCGTGAATGTAAATTGCTCAGTTCATTTTCATGATCAGCGACCATTTGCTCGTTTCTCAAGCGATAATTGACAATCTCCGTTTGATCTTCACATATCTTTGTCTTCAACGAATCCAATTCACGTGATAACTCATCTTTAACGGTTGCCATTTCGGATTTAATGCGTTCAATTTCAGCTTCAGCAGCCAAACGGTTGTGATTGGCTTCGGTTAGTTGAATTTGGACCGTGTTTAGTTCAGCCGTATGTTTTTCCACCAATTCCAGATTTTGAGCGTGCAAATTATCGACTTCGGTTTGATCTTGAACCACTTGCATGCGCAACTCTTGTGCCTCGAGCTGATCTTGGGTCATTGTGTCATTTTGCAATTTCACCCATGTGATCTCCTTCTCCAGTTCATTTCTGCTCAATTCCAAACTTGATTGGGATTCACGCAATTGGACGAGTTGATCTTGGAGCATGGTGTTTTCTTCAATGGATTTCTCAAGGTTCTCTTGAATAGAACGACGTTCACGCTCAACACCCTGCAAATGATTGCTCAATTCATTTTCTAATTCGGTCAATTCGGTCTGTTTCTCGGCAATCTTCTGGTCATACTCTTGCTGTTTGCGGGCAATTTCGGCGTCTAACTTCTCAATTCGGCTGGATAATTCTTTGTTTTCTTCTTTTAATTCGATTAATTGGGTTGATTCCAATTCATAGACGCGTTGCTCCAGCTCTTCATTTTTGCCGGTCCATTCGTTCATTTGATTTTCATAGTCTTTCAATGTTTCAAGCAAACCGTCGCGTTCAATTTCCATATCCTTGAGTTTCTGCTCGATGATTTCATCTTGGTTGGTCAGAGCACGTAACCGTTCAGCGTATTCGTCTTCAACATTTTCAATTTGTGTTTGTTTTTGCTCCAATTGGAGACCCAACAATTCCGAATGACGTTCCAATGATGATCGCCGCTCTTCCGCTTTGCAAATATTCTCTTCCAATCGTCCGATTCGCTCTTTTAATTGTGCATTTTCCGTTTCAATTGATTCAACCACCAAATCGCTATTTTGAAGTTTTGTCTCGATGAATGAGCGATAATTTTCAAAATCTTCACTGATTTTATCCTTCTCACTTTGCGCTTGATCCAGTTGCAATTTCAATTCTTCAGCAGAGACTTCGGCTGAATCTTTGTTTTTCATGGCTTGTTCAAGCTCTTGAAGGCGTTTGATTTCCTTGTTCTTCTCCTTAATGATGGCCTTACACTTTTCAATCTTGATGTTTTTCGACTTCAAATCTTCAGCCGTTTTGGTGAGCTCTTCTTTGACCGTCTGTGATTCCGACAATTTCTCTTGAAGTTCGGCAATTTCATTCTGTTTGGCATTCAAGTTGGCAGTTAATTCATCAAGCAATTGATTCTTTTCGCTCAAACGCAGCTTCAAATTTTCAACTTCAGCCATTTTGCGATCGATATTCTCACGAAGACTGGCTGTAATCGATGAAGACTCATTCAATTCTTGTTCCAATCGTGCAATTTTCTCTTTGAATTCCGAGTCATTGCTTGACTGCTGCAATGGAATACTTTCAACTTTTTGCACTTGCTGTTGAACGACCACTTGTTCCACTTGACCACCCGTTGACAAAGCATTGAACTTCTCTTCCAATTCGGCGTACTGTGCATTCTTCTTCTTCAGATTAGCGGCAAACTTTTTCAATTTTTCCAATTGTTCTTTATTTTTGGTCTCCAGTGCGCTTCGTTGGTTTTCCACTTCGTTCAACTGTTTCTTCCATTCCTCTTCTTTTTCTTGCAATTCTTTATGCCATTCCTTTTCTCTTCGCTTCAAATTGGCGTCCGATTCTTTGGCCTTGCGCTCACTGGCCAAGTTATTTTGATTCATTTTCTTGATATCGGCTTTGTTTTTGTCGATTTGCGACTGCAACAATTCGATTTCATCATCTTTCTCGGCCACTTCGGCTGCATTCGACTCCATCGATTTGTACAAATCCATTATTTGTTGATTCAATGAGTCGATCGTGGATTGTTTATTGTCCAAGTCGGAGGTTTGCTGCTTAAGCAACTGTTTGTTTTCATCTAATAACGACTGCATCGACGTGATCTTCTCATTCAACTCCACGACGTAATCTTGATTAGCACATTGCATCTGCGATTGGGTGTTACGCAGCTCTTGCTGAAGCTTCTCGATTTGTTCGGTGTACGAAGCGATTTGAGTATCTCGTTGATTCAGCTCCAACTCATGCTCGGTGTAAGTGGTTATCAATTGTTGCTTCTGCTCGTTGACCAAATCACGAAGAATTTCCATTTCTTTTTTGCTCGCCTCCAACAAATTGTCAAACTCTTTGCGTTGTTTTTGCAACTCTTGGAAGTCACTCTCCTTGGTTTCATCCAGCGATAATTGAAGCGCCTTGATTTCCTCGTTCAAATGGTTATTTTTAGATTTTAAGTCGGCAACAGACCTGGAAAAGAGTAGAAAAGAGTTGAAAAAAATTGTTAAAAAAAGAATGAAATGTAAATATCAACACATACTTCTCAAGATCATTGTACGAAGTCTCTCGTTCTTCGACCTGCTGTTCCAAATCGCTGCACTTTGATTTCAATTTCTCCTCACCCAAACGCAGTTCATCAATTTGTTGTACTAATTCGTTGATCCTTTCTTTATTGTCATTGCTGCCAATCACTACAATGTCCTGTTTCTCACTTTCCTTTCTGGCGGCATGTTCATGCTCCACTTCTGCTCTAAACGTTTGCAACTCTTCAAGGCTACCGTTATAGCTTACCAGCAGTTTATCCATGAGGTCGGCCACGTTCTTTGATTCTCGTGCTAATTTTCTGGAAGCATTTACCTTGGCATTCTTTTCCTTAGCGCCACGATAATTATCAAGTTCTGAACACAAATTCTTCAACCCTGTTTCGTATGTCTCTTTGTCAACGAATGTTGATTCAGCCACTCTTTTCGGTGTTGAACTAGCCAATGCAGAGTCACGCTCTTTTTCCAATTGAACGATATCTGTTTCCAATTTCGATTTCACCTCTTGAATCTCTTGAATATTGGCAACTAACCTATCGTGTTCAGCTTGAATGTCGCTCAATTCCTTGAGCGTTGATAGATTGGCTGCTTTGGATTCATCAAGCTCCTCAAGAATTCGTTGTTTTTCAGCACGCAATTCATCAATCGTTTTGCTAAGTTGTTGATTTTCATCGAGCAGTGTTTGAAGTTTTGCTTGGGTGGCATTCTCATCGACTGCTTCTTTGATAGCTTCAGTATGGCTGTCAGATTTTGATACATGTGCCGCATCGTCTGGTTGATCGTGATTTTCATCTTGTTCCTCAATTACGGATGCCTCGACTGTTGCTTGCAAACGATCCATTTCGAGTTTCTCCTCTTGTGTGAGACGCTCCAAAATTTCGATCGATTCAACGGAACTACCCTTGCTAAGCTTGTCGATTTTCTCTAACAATTCCATATTTTCACTGATGTATCGATCCAACTTCGATTTCAGATCCATCTTTTCAGCTACCAATCGATTGATTTGGCCATTCAACTCTTCGACTTGTTTATTCAAATTCTCGATTTGTTCCTCATTGGCAATTGAATCCATTTCGGAAGTGACGTCGTGTTTATCTTTATCCTTGATATGGCCCTTCAATGACGATAATTCCGTTTTGGTTTCATTCAAATCGGCGGTCATATCAAGTTTCTGCTCCTCTAGCAGTTGGATGGCTGATGTTTGATTTTGGCAAGTGGTTTCAAGTAATTTTATTTTCGCTTCAAGTTCTTGAGAGCCCTTACTATGGTCACCATCACCGTCAGCAGCGGCCGATTGTAGATATTGGCTCTTAAGCGAAGCAGTTTCCGATTCCATATCCTTCAGTTTTTCACTTAATCGTTGATTTTCTTCCATTAATTTAACTAATTCCTTATTCGTGTCCGATGTTTTCTTGAATATGTCAATTTGTTTTTGCAGTTGTTTCATCTTTAATTTGGTTTTGATGCCGGCTTTGTTGGCCTCATCGAGTTGTTTGGTGAGTTTGTTAATTTCAGCTTGCGCTTCTTCGTCGTTGGATTTAGAAAATATTGACTTTGGACCGTATGATTTCAACTTTTCATCCAATACATTGAAGTTTGCCATCAGAACATTGTATTCCACAGTCTTTTCAGCCAATTGATCTTGTGTGGTTTGGAGTAGATTCGATAGACGTTCGCATTCTTCCTTTTGGGCCGATATGGTTGCTTCCAAGTTATTGATTCGCTCCTGGTCACTGGCATCAGACGCTGGTGTATTCAATGCTGATTGAAGAGACTTTTTCAAATCATCATTTTCACTTTCCAACTCGGAAATTCGCGATTCAAACTGTTGAATTTTCTGCACATATTCCGACACATCAACATCTGGAACAACATTTGATGTCACATCTTCTTTTTCATTTTCCAAACTTTCAATGCGATGCTGAAGCGTTTCGTTGATTTTATTCAGCTCATTCAATTTGTTTACGTAATCCTCCACCGTTCCGGTTTTACTGTCCAATTCCGAGTTTTTCAGTGTCAAATCAAAGCGAGCCGTTTCCAGAATATCGTTAACTTCCTCCAAATTAGCAATCCGTTTATCCTTAGCTTGAATCTCTTTTTCCAGTGTCGCGATGCGTTTATTCAAATCATCTTCGGTGGTCACGAAATTCTCTTGCATTTTAACCATTTCGTGTTTTGTTTCTTCCAGCAGATCAACGGTGTCTTTGCCTTTGAGCGAAAGTGACTCGGAAATAAGGTTAGCTGCTTTGGTACGAGCTTCGATGAGACCATCCTTCTCTTTCAAATTCTCCTCCAAATCCATAATGCGAGCGTTCAACTGTTGAATTAGTTTTGATTGTTCCGATTCGGGGTCTTTATGCAGAAATTCATTCTCTTTTTGCTTCATTTCATTTTCCAAGTGTTTAATTCGTTTCTCTAAGTATTTGATACGTTCACGTTCCAAATTGAAACTACCGCTTAAATCACCAGTCGATTGATTCTTGTGTGACCGTCCCGATAATGCTGATAAATCACCAATTGAACTACCCAACAAATGGGCACGATCCAATGACTGCTGTGAACTATTGAATTTTGCCTTCAATTGTGTCACCATCTCTTCAATGCCACGTTGATTTGACTCACGTTCAGCCATTCGCAAACGATTCTGTTGCATTTGAATTCGTAAAAGTTGGATTTTTTCGCTGCCTGGCGCATCGGAACGCCTTCGTGATAATGGCGTACCATCGAATGAAGTTGATTGCCTATAACTCTCATTTTCAACGATACTCGTGTTACTACTTTCAATCGAAATTTCTTCGTGTATTTCGTTAAATGATTTTTCTGCAATGAAACAAATGGTAACGATTAGCACAATGTGAATTAGAATTGTTTTTTTTTTTCACGACGCAAACTCCAAAATTAATTGCATTCAATTACCGCTCGTTTGACGTGATCGTGTAGCCTTCGATTTGAGATGCGTTAATCGCTGTGCAATATTTTTCACCTTTTCTTGGGCACTGGCTGTATTTTTGCCGTGATCCTCTTCCGATTGTTTTACTAGCTGTTTCAATGCCGTAATTTTTGCCTGTCAACACACATACACCAATTATCACATGAATGCAAACGTAGATTGATGAAAAAAATTTGACGTAAGAAAAAAGAAGTGCACGAACAAAGGTCTTTGTCATGCAAAAACTCAGTTTTCAATGAAAAATTCACTGATTTTCAACGAATTCCATACCTGCTGTTCGCTAAAATTCTGCGCTAAATTTGTCAGACTGCCTCGTGTCATATCGACCGACATTTGATCGTCGGTGTGTGTTCCAGTTTCATTTGGTTCTTTGTCTGACATTTTTTCTTTATCAATTCGGGTTCCCGTCAAAAGTATTTACAATTCCGCACAGAAACAAAAATTAATCATAAGCAACAACAAAAAATCTGCTGAACATTAGAAGAAAAAAAAAAGAAAAATAAAAACAACGAAAACGTGTTAAATACAAATATAGACGTAGCTCATTTACATTTTATAGAAAGTGAATGTGACGTCACACAAAATGCACGTATCAAAAAACGCGATTTTGATGTGTTAACAAACTACATTAAAAAGTTAACACACAGATGTTGTTTTCTAATGTTTCGATCACATGAAAATCCAATCGAACCAATAAAATCCACTGTATATTTACCGTATTTCGTTTTGAATGTTTACCACATCATTTTACGTCATCTCACAATCAAATGAGAAACACTCAACTAATTTTTTCCCGAAAAATTTTAATTACAAAAATACAAAATAATTAGGTTCTCTCTTAAACAATATACAAAAGCTACGTGTAATGTACAATCACGACATGTCATCACTTATGTTGAGACTCGGAATTCATATCGGTGTAGCCAATACAGTCGAACATAGTCTATACGTTTATCTCGCTCTTGCATATGCATCGCACTGGGGGATTCGAGTGAAAGGCAAATAATGTGTTTGACAGTTGAGATGTCATCAGCGCATTGGGCTGTGAGCATGAGTAGAGTGGTCGATGAGTAGAAATGTCAAAATTGGTAGCCATACACAGAATGCAGCCAATTCATCTGTACGCATGCTGTCAGTCGGTGTTCAAAGAGAAATGTAGAGAAAAAACATCCAAAAATATTTCACATATATTTACAGAACGAAATAAAAATAAATCGCTGCAACGATTGAAATGAACCATAAATATACATAAAAAATTTGGCGAATGCTATTTTCGTTTGCAGAAATTAAATTGAGGAGTTATTGTTTGCCGGGTAAATGTTTGCCAACTCCTGCGGAGAAAGACGAACATACACGGTGTAGTGTATACAAAAAAACACACACATATGCTTGGGGAACTGATGAGTTCATTCGATGTTTTTTTTATTGTACGTGTGTGTATTATGGAAAAAAACCATATGCACGGGCCAACCACCTATCGGTTTCTAGCTTAAATAAATAACACCGTATCGATTTTTGCCGCATGATAAAAACTCAATTTGAGTCAATTTCAAGCATTGCGTTGTTGATTGCAGAAATGAACCGAATGAGAAAAAAAACGAAATTTCGTTCGGGTTTATTTAAAGAGCGCGATCACAAACACACGCAGGCGTCAGTTTTGCTCGTGTGAAGTGTTTATTTTGCACACTATACAATGTATCTTATCTCTTTTACTTGGTATATCATCATCTCCAACACAAAATGTAGCTTTTTTAATACTATGTCGGCTTGGTTCGGTTTTTTTTTTGTACTTTGTTGGTTGTATGGGTATGTTTTTTTATTTCGTTCATATTCGATACTAACAAATATATAATTTCGTTCCAAGAATGGGTAAATAAATTCGAATGTTTGTTGTGCTAATTGCAACTGTTTGGCTAAAATTGGCCGAGGTGACGCACCATCCAATATTGAATCCTTTTGTTTGAAAACGTGTCTCAATTTTTGCGTTGATCGTGCTATGATCGAAATTCTACTTTTTTTTATGCCAATATTGAGATGCATTCAATAGATGTGAGTAGTAGGAAAAGGCGGATTCATCAGCAACTCTTGCGTCAACTATGCGACTGCGTTGCGGATGACGCAAGGGTCCTTGCGGTAACAATGGTATGAACAATATATTAATAGCAAAAATGCAGTGATAATGGGCGACTTTAATATTGATTTGTTTACAATCACAACACACAGCCGTCGGTTGTCCAATTTTTGTGATGATAATGGCTTAAGTAATTTAATTAATTCAGCGACTCGCACTACAGAATATTCAGCTACTAATCACTTGAAAATCCCAGTGTGTCATGGGAAAATGTAAAAAAACTATGATGTCAATATTAAAACAAATTGGTTACTTAATACTTTGTGCGATGCAACTAAACAATTCAAACGTGTCAAAAAGTATGTTGTATGTTGTACATTATGTATACCTAATGCATTGATATATTGACAATATTCTAATTTAAATCAAGATTTGTTAATCAATAAACCGAGTCATCAAGCAGTCTCACAAAAGTTTCTCATTTTTCTCCAAGTGGTTCGATTCTTCCGATAAATACATAAGCACACGCTAAGTATAACTAAGCCCAAAAGAATCTGAAAAATTAATCAAATAGTAGAACATTTTATTTCTATAGACCAATTCTAATAATCGAATCGAAATTAACTCACACATATAATTGTAGTGGTTTCGATGCCGTATGATTCCCATATGAAACAACGCCACGGATGTTTTAGTTGTAGGTTTACTCTTATCCCATACTCTTTCTTCTGGTCACACCACAAATGATAGATATTCTTATAAGTTTTACCATCGGAACCACAAACATAAACAAGACCCTTAGGTAGATATGTACAATTGTAAATCCTTGCACTTGCACTTGCACTTGCAAAAATTGCAATAACAAGAAAATTGATGTGAATGATTTCATGCATTCTTATCAATGTTTTAATGTTCTTTCCATTGAATTAATAAATGTTTGACGTTCTGAAATTGCCAAAAATTTTTTAGACATGTCTCACAAACTATTAGTAAACGCCTAAGACAAAAACGTCAAATAACTGACAAAACGTCTAAAGCGTCATCCGCAACGCAGTCGCATGGTTGACGCAAGAGTTGCTGACGAATCCGCCTTTTCCTACTACTGATGTGTTCGAATTGGAATTACTTCTTCGATATAAATTTTGGCGATCACGCTTGTGCTCGAGCCCAAAAATTTCCCTTTACAAATCTCCTGAAATTCATATGATTTGCAGATTTATCCATTGCGAGAATGAATGTCTTTTCTTTTTGGCAAGGTAGAGTTCTTTTTTTTGCATGTGACACTGAGCTCACCATATATACAAATTGTGCTGAATATAGACACGGTGCATGACGTAAGCCAAATGCGAATCTCAACTTTTCGATATACCTATATGAACGCAAGAACGCACATTTAATAAATTTTTATTAAATATGAGGTTTGATGAACGATAACGTTCACTCACATTTTTGCGATAACTTATGGAGATCTTCAATACGTGCTTGAAGTGTATTATATTATTTGTGCTTTTTTTCTACCTCGTCTGATGGAGAGAAAATATATATATATATATGAAAAATGCGTTATGAATAAGATTCCAAAGATTTCTGATGGCAATTCTTATGTGAGCGTGTTCTCTCGTACGGAAACTGGTGTCCGATTAGTTGAGTAGTTTTTGTTTTATTTCGCGACTTACCCTAATTATGTTCGCATTCTTCAGTGCATATTTCTGCCAATATATTCGCTGATGAGATTGGGGGCCTCCAGAACAGGTTGAAATGGTTTCGGTCGGATGTTTCGGCCATTTGATTGTGTGTTTTATGGGCATATTTTATCGTTCAACGCTTCGCAATCATAAAATAACGAAATAAGTAAAATGATTACAGTTCATAAAAGGAACGATCGATGGTTTAATGGCCGAAAGGAATAAATGAATTTTTAATGATCAACAAACAAAGCGCCAATAAGTGCGAGAGACGAGAGTTTCACTTGTGTGAATCAAAGAAATGAATGCCATTCGCCAGTTTAGAGACTTTTCGTTTGGCTACGGCTGTTGCTGCTGTTGCTGCTGTTGCCGCCACCGCTGCCATCAATTCACAAATCATTCACCGTGCTATAGCAGCGGCTCGTTTTCGATCTCTATTTACGATCATTCATTCGGATCATTTCATCTTTTATTTTAAAACCGCGCGATGCAGTGGAAATTTTTTTCTTATCGGTTTTTTCCTTCAGCCTCCATCAAACAGGCACACAGGAGAGAAAAAAAGCATTGATGTTGTTAAACGGTTTTATATTTACAGACCTAATTAAATCTTTAAACACTTGTCTGAAATAGGCAAAACGCCAGTAAGGTTGTCCTGTTTCAGTTTTCCTACTTAATTTAGTCTTCACTTGCACTTTTTTCTCCTCTCTGTCGGCTGGCCAGTTGCTTCTTTTCCGTTCTGTTTGTTGTATTTGCTATTTTAAGAGGAATATCATGTGAAAATCCAACATTCCGAATGGAGACAATAAAAAAAATTGTGAGAATTATCAACAGACGGTGGTGACTGAGGACATTTAAATTTCACATAGATCTCTTTTTTTTCGTGGTGCGTCTCATTCATTTGCTCCTTGTGTTTTCATACCATTGTTGATGCTGCCGTTGCTGCTGCCACCGTTGTTTAGTTTTCTCCCATTTTTCCCTTGTTATGTTTGTTTTGTTTTCTTCAGATTGTTGTTTCTTCTCTGTATTTGATTGCAGAATTGTTTTATTTTCGTAAAACGCATTTTGACAATCAAACAAAAGCGACTTCCTTTCGCATTACGTTGACGATCTTTTTCCCAAACTTTTTATCATTTGAAACCACCTAGAAGTGTATGCGGGTGACCTGTCGTTGTTGACTCTTTCTCTCGCTCTTGCTCTCACTCTGAATTGAAATGCAAAGAAAAGTCCTCGGTTTCTCTTAAGTGCCCGCTTTGCTCGTTTAACCCGTCGAGTTGAATGATGCAAAAAGGTGAATATGCGGCACATCTGTACCATTTGGGATAGTGAAAGATTCTTATTTTGATTTCGACAATTGGAAATTTATGCCGGATTAAAATAGCGGCAGCTGCACACTATCAATTTATTATTTTTGGTTTCATTTAAACATACTATTCACTTGTTCTCGGTTTTTTTTTCTCGATCCCATTGTACATATGCTTCACGTTCATCCTTTAATGGGTTTGTGATCGTTCCGTTTTGGGCTCTTTAAATTTTTGCACAGTGTTTTTTTGGCCCTCTGTTATTGGTTGGTTCGTGTATGTGCGTGTGTACCTTTCGGCATGTGTTGATTTGAATTTATTCCTCAATTCCGAATGTAACGTAGAATGTTATTTATTTTTATCAGAAGCGACCGAAAGGAAACAAAAGAGAAAATTTGATGATATACTTTATAGTCGAAAAATTGCACACTGGGCCAATTCAAAAAATGCACCGAAACGTCCAACACCGGCAGCAGCAACGGCATCAGGAGCAGCAGCAGAAAAAAAGGCGCATTCGATAATACGCACACTGCGAATGCACAGAACAACTGAAAATTAAAGAGCAGCAGATGCAGTCAGTGCCATTGCCAATGTCTGTGTGGTTAATAATTTAATATATATTGCATTTTCTGATATTTCGCTCAGTTGTTCACCTCTTTTCCGTTTACCGTCTCGTCCGTTCGCATTTTGGATGCACGTGTATGTGTATATGCATGTATATCGTGTTTGAGTTCATTTCGACGACGACGATGTTGGGCCATTTAAATTTTAAATATCCACACACAACTGTTTAAATGTCTCGAAGGATAACAAAAGAGAGTGCGCAAAAATATGTGAGCGCGTCTTCGCAAACTCTAATGGAGTCAATAGTAGCCGGTATTGGTGGTATTGGTGGTGTTTGCAAGCTGTGCCAGCTCACACAACAGCAGTTTCAAAGTCCAAGAAATATTCAAAAATGACGATGCGCGCGCAGTGCGATGGGAGAGAGAATGAAAAAGGCAGCTTGACGGGCTATGATGACGGAGATCATTGTGAGTTCGCGAATTTGCAAAGCCAGTCGATTTAAATGGAAAACGAAAAACAAGAAAATAATGTCGACAGAAAGAGAGATATGTGAGAAGATACGAGCATATGTATTTATATATATATATATGAGCGCATATATCGTTACCGGTGCACGCTCCTTCCTTTTTTTTCTCTCTCGTCGAATGTGAGAATTCACATTCCTATTCGAAATAGTTCGGTTTGCATGTTTTTGTTATTGATCATTATTTGCTTGTTGTGCACATACACAGTCACTCAGGCCCTATCTCTTCTCCCTCGGCATTGATCGCCAAACCTGATGCATGTTGCGAATCGAATATCTGCCACCACTGCGTGCTATTATCGACCGTCAAACTTGTTGTGGTCGCATCGTATTTTAATTGCTGCCTATGAAAAACCCATAAATTTCAGTCAAAAGACCAAAACCGATTCACTTGATTTCATATTTTAATTCATTTCCAATCGGAATTTGCTGTTGTTTCGGTGTGTGCGTTCGAGTGAGCTCGGTACAAGCTTGGCGCGGTCGCTCATCAGTGTGCAAAATTTAACAACACAAATTCACATTCAGAGTTAAGTATTTGTCGGGGAAGAGAAAACAAATGGAAAATAAACACCAGCAAGCGAATTGTTTGATTTTGCACATTATTCAGTCGACCGACGTCGGTATACAATTTAAGTACAAAATCAGAAAGAAAAAAACGAAAGAAAAATGAATCAAAATTGAGCGACAAATGTAACGTCAAATGTTTGCTAGTTGTGTGTGCCGTCTGCCATGCGATCGAATGCCTGGAACGCACAAAACTTTGATTAAACCGCCCAGAAATTCCACAGCAACTAATCATCAACAGACTCAGCTTCTTCTTCTCTTTTTTTTTTTTTTTTCTTGCAACGCATCACAATAATGTAGTAAAATTCCGAAATTATGATGGAATTCGAGGCTTTGCCAAAAATTAAATTGGGCACCATCATTGACTGCGACCGACTGAAAAATGTCTTCCTAAGCCCAACAACATCGACAAAATGCATTTCAGTTTTATGTTAATGTTAAGAAAATAAAAATTCATGGCGCTAAAATTGATTATGTTGCTTTTGAATGTGTTTTGCACAAGCAAAACACTAAGAAAATTATTATCCGTTGCTTCGCCCCCCGATTCGACACAAAATATAAATGAATCGAGCCACAACGAAGAGAAAAAAAAACGACGAAATATTCATATTAATCTTAATCACAAAGAGCAAAATGAACGCTTTGATGATGTCGAAATTGAATATATGTGTATTGGGCGACGACTTTGCGCAAGAGATACGCGCAAATAAAGCAAATAACATATTTCAGCGTAGAGCGAGAGAAATAATGATATATGGTCCGTGTGATAGCTGCTGCATCCGAATGCATAAAAACAACAACAACGACAGAAATGCAGACATTCTTCCAAGGAGTTCGACTCGTAATGTAAACAAAATCGGCTGAGAACTCAAAACCTAATGTTTGTTGTTGGCGCGTGTTTTTTTTTCTCTCGTTCTGAATTCTGAATTTTTCTTTCATTCACATATTTTTCGGCTTATGATTATTATATATCGACAAACATATGCGGCAAGATAGCGAATATCATCGAACTTTGAAGACGAAACGGGAAAAAAATTGTCATGTGATTGAACTAATTAGTTGCTTGAATCATTTCGAATTGATGGCGTCTTACGATGTATTTTTAAACATAATTTCGTGTGTATTTTCGATTACGAAACGAAACAAAAAAAAAATGGAGTCCATTTGCTGGATAGCATATGTGCTTTTTTTCAGCTAGAAATCATGTACATGATTCACGCA